GATAGTATTAATTTTTTTTCTTTTAAATACTTTTTTCTTTTAAATCTTATCATAATACATGTGTTTTTTCCCTATCTATTTCTTTCGAGTTCACTATCTAAATTTATCATTTCTAGCCATGGATAGCATGAGGTTGTAAAATGAAAACGGATCAACTACTAAGCACTTGCATTAACCATCAATTGACAATGCTAAGGTTTGTGAAAATCTCTGTCGGTTTGTAAAAATAAAATTATTAAACATCCTCCCTCTCTCTCTCTGGTTATTTTTTAATAGAGGGTTTGTTACATAATTGGGGGAACAATGTCCATATCGATGTAAATTTTGGCTGGTGGTTTTCGGTGTGTTCGCGATGTCATCACCCGACAAAAAACCCACCAACGTCTATTCATGCACAATCCATGGCATACTCATTAATGATTGCATCCCACGGTAAGAAAATCCAAACATCACGAACTACCTTTCTCCTTTACAATAAAATTATTCGAGTGCCCTTTTTTTTAATACGCATATAAAAGTACATTAAGTCTTCTTTTTATGACCTTAGCCTATCTTTTTTTTTTTTTCGGATACAACAACTTGCATCATTCGTGATCATATATCCGAAGCTAGGCTTCTACTCACAGGAAATGTAGCTACATCATGTTTTGGATATACAAGTAGGCAATTAGACTTTGGATATGCTCGACAAAAACTCGCTCCCACAACAATTACTCGGATACCACTAATAAACTCAATATTTTTCGGATTTGATGCAACCTTTTTCACAATGCATCATCGGGCTACCACTTCATTGCAACTTATGTCTTTGATGTCAATAATGTAGTCCTAGAAATACCCCCATCATCCTCATCCACATCCCCGAATCATCCGACACACCATGAAAGGTAACAATGGTAGAACGTAAAAAGGCATTGTAATTCCATTTATGCATCATTTTATAATATTACGGGCATTTCATTTTCTCATTGTGTGCTTATTGCCTAAGACTCGTAAATAAACATTGCAAACAAAAATACTATATAAGATTCGGATAAAAATTCCGCCAACCAATCCCTTTTACAAAAAAAAAAAAAAAATCTTTTCCTAACAAATAAATTTGATTTACATTAATTATCAAAAACATGACTTTTTCTTGTAATGCACCATACAAATAATTGACGCTATGTATGTAATGATTGTCTAACCACAGTATAACACGAGTATCTAACTAATAATAGCCGATAAAGAACAAGTGTTAGTTGAATCAAATTTGTGTCCGAATAGTTTTATAGCCGATAAAGAACAAATGTTGGTCGAACCAAATCTATGTCCAAACAAGTTTTAATTTACCCTAAAGTGACACTACATTGAGTCCGATTCAAGTATGAGCAAGTGTGTTTATGCATGTTGTGAGTTTCGTTCAATTTGGAATATGAAAGTTCTTTAACAAGCAAAATCAATAACTCTTCATATTCCTATTCCCATCACAAGATTACTCGTTTTCTTATGAACACCGAACTCAATGTTCTTCAATGTTTTAGCTATCGCAAAATATAACATCTAGTTTTTCGGATGACACAAATGGTAAAGAAAGCAATCACTTGTTATATGATTTGTCTAATAGCGAGTATTCAATCATTATCGCAAAATAACTTAAGAAACACGAATGATCATTCTAATGGATTAATTAGTCGCAAAAGCACTAAAAGAAAAAGTACCGATTCAATTGTATGGATAATCCAAGCATAGTTCAAGCATCAAATCATGTTGCACCATAATGCAAGTTTAAAACCGTATCTAGCTCTCCATATCTTAAAACAAAGAACTAGAGATGATTATAAAATTTCATAACCATTTTATTGGTTTTTTCAAAACAAGAGAAGAAAATAGTATGACTACGGGACATACGAGGTTGCATCATTACAATACCACAAGCAGGACATTTCATGTGTAAAATCACTAATTTACTAATATTTAGTCATTTAAAAAGATTATACAACCAATACCTATTTGAATTAAATTCTTGAAAACTTGAAAAAAATTATTTAAATTTCAATTAATGAAATTATCAAATATCTCGCTCCATTAGACTATTACTCGTTGAGTCAAGAATTATAAAACTAATGATTTCAACACACATGAGGCTTTGGTTGTTGGTGGTAAATGAATCATGAAATCGAAGACAATTTTTGTTTTTGAACGGTGAAATCCGAAAAGAATCTTGAGAATATGGTCGAGGATTTCAATTTGGAAAATTATTAACTAGAAGTTGGGTTTTGTTGTAGTATGTTGTATTGCTATATGATGGGATAAAAATAGTTTCGAGTAAAATAGTTAAATAATATATGATTAAATTATATTGCGAGTGTTTTGGTTTTCTATGCTACGCAACGGATCGCACTAAATATATTTATTTTAGTTTGATAGCATGTACTTTAATGTCGCTTATCCAAAATATATTAAATTAAAAATAAAAAATAAATTTTTATCTAATTTTATAATATTTAAATAAAATAATGTATTTTATTTATTCTTTTTTATGTTTTTCATAAATCCCATTCTTAAAAAACATGATTCGTTCTTCGTTGTGCATTTATTCTTAGATAAATATCCGTAATAAGGTAAATAAAAAATTTTAATATAATTTTTTTTAAAAAAATCCTAATAGTTTTTTTTCATAAGATTGTATTGAAAAAATGAAGCAAGAATTTATATAAATTTTTTTTTAAAATAATTAACTAACGAATTTTTTTTAACTTTTTGAAATACACACACACACACACATAAATACATACTTAGAAATAATCAATAATATTAATATAAAAAAAATGTTTGAATTATTAGCTGGTTTTTTTGAAACATTATTTTCATTATTTTATTTTAATAAATTAATTTTAAAATATTCAAAAATTAATAAAAAATGATTGGTGTTATGTGTATACATGGATAGTTAATTTTTAATAAAACCAATGATCTCAATATTTTTTTATATATCATAACCATACTCGGTAGGTGAGAGTGTGTAGTATAAATTAAAAAATATTTTAAAAAAAACTTAAGTTGTAAGGAATATATTGAAGTTAACAGAGAACAATAAAAATAACTAAAAAATTTATTCCTACGAAATTTGATTATATCAAGAATAAGCAAATAAAACACGTAAATTTTATTATTTGATTGATTATTTATTTTAAAAAAATTATTTGAAAATCTATATAAAGAGAGAGAAAAATACATCATATATATTAACAAATTAAATTACATAAAAAAAGAAGAATAAAAAATTAATTTAATGAGAATTTTCATAAGAAATAACAAATTGAAGATATCAATTTTAAACAATAAAAATAATATAGTTCAATATCTATGTTAATTCTAAAATCTAAAAAACGAAAATTTAAAAATAGCTTTTGAAAATATGCGATACGAAAAATATTTTTTAGAAACTTCAAACACCAAAATGGAATACATGTAAACATTGCATATGAATACTCAAAAACAACAAAAAAATACAAAAAATGCCACACAATGAATAATAATTTGCTAGACGATAAATAATAATTATTATTCATTTTCTCTATAGTTTTTTTGTTAATGACAAACAAAAATTGTAATATACTTCAAGTATTTTAAAATTTTTTTATTTTATTTACATTATCTTGGATATATGTTATAGGTCCAGTTGATGGGTAGTTAACTCATTAAAAAATTAATTAAAAAATATTAATTAGAAAAAAGGATTATATAAAAAATGACCAAGTTGAAAAAGAAAGGAAATTGAAGAGTAAATGGTAAAGTGCGCGCGCGCGTATGGTGGCGGAAAAAAGAAAGCTTTTAAGAAAAGGCCCGTCTGACTTTCCTGTTTTATGGTGTTGCCGATGCACGGTATCTCTTTTCTATTTGTTTTGTTCTGCCGCATGCGGCCAGCTATAAAAACAAAGTTATATTTTCTCTTGTTTAAATGTAGTTGCCATGTGAAGAAATATGATTTTTTTTTCTTGGATTGCTATAATAAAGAAGTAAGCGGAGACTTTTTCTGACTTTTTGAATATTATAATTAGAGAATTGCAATTTGTAATTTTATACAGGTAACAAAAGAAACAAAAAAATATATATAATTTAATCAAATAAAAAGTAGTATTAAATTTTATTGATATTGCTGTATAATTTTGTAGTCAGAAACACAAAATATTTTACAAATTTCAAGTTTATTGTAAGAAAATAGATTTAATTAAAAAAATAACTTGCATTGCTTTTTAAATTCATCAAAAAATTTAAGGATTTTTTCATAAATTTGATGTTATTATAATTGTGTTTTCTTGATTTATTTTGTGTTTTTAATTGTTATGTATGTTTGATTTAATTATTTTTCAAAAAATCTAATTTACATAAAATGATATCAATGATCTAAATTTTTATGAGATAATTTTCAAATTTAAAAACTAAAATTAAAAAAATATTAAATACAGTGACAATAAATGCACATCGTTTAGAGTAAAATCAATAATATAAAAAAGATTAAAATATAAGTACGCAAAACACTAGTACTTTTTAAATGTATAATTTTAAAAAACAATTAATGGCAAGCTGTCATTTAATTTTTTAAAAAATATATAGTAAAATTAACAGCTGTGTTTTTAGTTAATTTTTATTTATTTAAAAAATAACACTTGGTTTGTTTTTCAAAACAAAAGAGGCATTGACCAAAAAATCCAATAACCACTTCGAACCAGAACAATGTCAAACAGGTGGGAGATGTTGTGGTCCCTTTGCAGCAAACGTAATTTGAACAATAGTCTAAGCCACTTGTTTTGATTGGAAGAGTTATATCCACCTAACGAAGGGCTATTTGGTAACTAGGATTTCTTTGGTCTTTTATAAATAGTGGAAGCAGAGGAACCAAGATCGGTAGGTTTTTATTGGTAGCTTTATCAGTAGTAGCAGAGAGAGACGTCTGTCAGGAAAAAAAAAAAAAAAAAACTAAGAGAGAATTTAGTTATTTTTGACAGATATCGAAGATGCCTGCCTTGATCATTTCTACAAATGTCAACCTTGATGGAGTTGACACCTCCTCCATCCTCTCCGAAGCCACCTCTGAGATTGCCAAGATTATCGGCAAACCTGCGAACGTAAGTTTTGTTTCATTTTCATTCAGTGGAAAAGATTTTATTTTTCATCCTTGGGGTCCTCAGTTCTTTAATTTTAAGTTTGTGATTTTAGTGTGTTTAGTTTTGATAATCCCCTTGTGCCATTTTATAGACGATCTGAACTAAAAGGTTATTCCCTTATAATCAATTATAATCTGTTGAGGGTTATTGATATATTTGTATTTCCAAAGTTTGTCTGGCAGATATTGTATGGTAGGTTTTTATTGATTGTTTGGTCACATGAAATAAATCTGTCTTTTTTCTCAAAAGCTCGTGTATGTCTATTCTGATTATTTTTTATTTATTATTTTCAATTGTGAAAATATCAATTGTGGCCACCTAAAAGAGTTCTTGGATGTCAGAGTAGATCGAGCTTGATTTTTTCGTGGAGTCTTAGAAGTTTGATTTCTTTATGTTTCTGGGTTATTTAATTCCGATCTGGATAGCTATGGCTTAATTATTTGAGTTTTGATTTTGTTTTAGAAGATTGAAATGGGTTCTGATGGATTACTGTGTGTTTTTACTCGTCAGAAAAACTAGACAAGAATATATGTCCTTTAGGCCTCAACTTCCAAAACCCATTTTATGCTTGTTAGGAGGCCATTGTAAACAGTACCAGTTCTTACAAGTGGTCTTGTGAAAAAAGTGATCTTGGTCAGATACTCTTTTAAGCTTTTCTTGTCCAGTTGTTTGTCTGATTATATTGGCTATGAAATGTGTCTTCTTAACTATTTAATGTTTCTTGTCTTGCAGTACGTGATGATTGTATTGAAGGGTTCCATACCCGTTTCATTAGGAGGAACTCAGGAGCCAGCAGCTTATGGGGAGTTGGTGTCCATTGGTGGCCTTAACCCTGACGTGAACAAGAATTTGAGCTCTACAATTGCATCAATTTTGGAGAAAAAGTTGTCAATACCCAAGTCACGACTCTTCCTTAAATTCTATGAATCTGAGGCAAGCCATCTCAACTTTTAATTGTCATCAAGAACATGGATTATTGCAATGCACATTTTTCTTCGTATAGCATTTATTCTGTTTGTTTAGGCCCATCATAACCAAGAATATGAGCAATGTTCGCTTGATTAGATTAAATTTTCCGTAGGACTCAACCTGTACATATTTCTCAGATTATGTCCTCATAAAAGGTCATTTTGCAGCCACTATCAATGATTCTGATGTTTACTTTATTTTGCAGGGTACCCACTTTGGGTGGAATGGTTCCACCTTCTAAACCCAGCTTCTTTCGTTGTTGCCCTCAAACTTAATGTCGGAGATTCAATAAGATATATAGATGTAGAACTAGAATGCTGGTGTGCCCTTTTAAAAGAAAACACTATGTTTGCTTGGCATTTTGTCAATTGTGTTGTATAATGCTGCTCATGGCGCATGATTTGTGAGTGAATATCTGCTCTTGAACCGTTGTCAGCTTATGAGCAATGTTCTTTGACGTGCTCTAGGCTTGCTTTATAAGAATTTGTATCCGCATTATTTGTGGCAAAATAAGCCTCGCCGATTTTTCTTTTACCAGTATTTAAAGGGTGTTTGAGGTGAATAAAAAATTTCAGGTCAAATAATTAACGAAATAATTAATTCAGGTCCACGAAATCTTCTTTGAATGCAAATTCCTGAACCTTTAATGTCAAAAATGTGTCAAATGCCTTTTTCTTCCAATATCTCTTGAATACAGATTGTCAGCAACTGTTTTTCATAAAGGATGGAGGCTTCAAAGCCGGATTCCTTTTCTCTTCTTGTAGAGTTTCCTTGTATTTCTCTACAAACTCTTTTCGATACACCATGTGTTAGAAACGTAGAATTAACAACGACAGCTTCCTTTCCTCTTTCTTGCGGAGCTTCCTTGTACTCCTCTAAAACTACTTAAATGTAAGTCATCTTGAAGCATATATTAATAAATAAATAAAAAAGAGGAAATTTCCGAAGAATGTATCTCTCCTAAAAGTAGGCACTTTGATTGCGGTCTTTCGTATAAAAAAAGGATCTAATTATTTTCAATACTGAGCTCAAAATTTTCCACCAACAAAATACTCAAATTCTTCTTGACCAGCTTTACAATTATTTTCAATCAAGTACGTGAATTTAAATTTTTTTCATTTAAGTATATTAATTTTTCAAAATTTTCAATAAGTATTTTCGTCTATCTTCTATCAATTGCTAATGTATATTTTGACCTTAAAACCTTGTTGATGCACAAACTTTTATTTTATTTTAATCAAATACATAAACTTTAATCTTTATAATTTTGATACACCAACTTTTTAAATCGTACCAATCAAGTATTTTCATCAATTTTTTATTTTCTAATATGATCTTTTTAGTGATAGTATCCTCTAAGATAATAAATTTAATAAATGAAAATATTCTAAATTAAAATAAATTATTTTTAAAAGATAACTCTTTTAATTAACAACAAACTATCTAAATTCTACACTTTGACAAAAACTATTTTAGGATTAATTAAAACTAATAAATAACTTATTAATAAAATTACAATATTTATTATTTTAACCAAATAAATAGATATCGTCAAAAGTATTGTACGCGATTAGCATAATTGAAAAAAATAATATTGTTGTATCAAAATTAAAAAATAAAATAAAATTTATGTACTTGAGTGAGGAAAACTAAAAAGCGGTGGACCAACATTGTAACTTTTCTTTAGCAAAAGTTAAACACAAGAACAATTAATAGAAGTTGGACAGATTACCTACTTGAAAGTTTTTAAAAAACCGGTGCATTTGAAAAAAAAAAAAAAATCAAAATCAAAACCCAGGCACTAAATCGAAAAAAGTATAAAGTCAGTGTACTAATAATATAATCATCCCTAAACAGAATCTACGCCATATACTTGAAAACCTTTGATTGCGATTTTCATATAAGAATTGGGTCTAATTATTTTCAATACTAAGCTCAAAATTTTCCACCAACAATACTCAAAATCTTCTTGACCAGCTTTACAATTTTTTTTTTCAATCATATACGTGGATTTAATTTTTTTTATTTAAGTATATTTTTTTATTTAATTTTAATCAACCACTTTTGTCTACCTTCTCTCACCTTCTCTCAATTGCTATCGTATATTTAGTCCTCAAACCTTTCACTTTATATTAATCGAATACCTAAACTTTAATTAATTTTAATACACTGAGTTTCTAGATTGTATCAATCAAATATTTTCAACAATTTTTTATTTTCTAATATGATTTTTTTAGTAATAGTATCCTCTAAAATAATATTAAATTTAATAAATTAAAATAAATTATTTTAAAAAGAAAACCTTTTCAATTAACAGTAAATTATCAACGTTCTACACTTTGCTAAAACTATTTTACGATTAATTAAAACTAATAAATAAATTATTAATAAAATTAAAATATTTATTATTTTAAGCAAATAAATAGATATCGTGTGATTGAAAAATAAATGATTTTTTTTACAAAAGCATTTTACTCGATTGGCATAATTGAAAAAAAATGTTGTATCAAAATTAAAATTCATGTCTTTGATTGAGAAAAACTAAAAGTTGGTGTACCAACATTGTAATTTTTCTTTAGCGAAAGATTAAAGGACACAAGAACAATTAATAGAGGTTGGACGACAGTACCTATTTGAAAGTTTTAAAAAAATCGGTGTATTTGAAAAAAAAAAAAAATCAAAATCCATGCATTAAATGGAAGAAAATATAAAGTTAGTGTACTAATAATATAATAATCCCTACACAGAATCTACACCATATATTTGAAAACCTTTGGACTGGATAATTTCATGGCTGAGCCTTGCACTACAAAAAATAATAGAATTGACCGTGGCTAATTTCGCAAAACCTGTCTCAAATTTTAATTAGCGACGGTTTTGTGATGGTCCAAAATTTATTTGTAAAATATCAATCGTTAAAATTTTACGATAGTTTTTGGACCGTTACTAATTTAATGATAGAAACAATCGTAGCAGAAAATGGTAGTAGAAACCAGGAAATATTATGACGGTAAAAAAACCCTCGCTAGAATCATCGTAAAATTGCAACGGTTTTAGCAACGGGTTTGGACCGTCTCTAATATTTGCAATTAGCAATGGTCTAATAATAATATTTTAGCGACATAATTAGACCGTCGCTAATTATGTCACTAAAATATTATTTTTTTATCCTCATTTTAAATTAACTAATTGCTATTTAAAAATCTACAAAATACCTAAAACATAATATTTTAAAACTTCATAATTTTTATTATAAAATTTATTAAAATATAATAAATATTATTCAATCATTAAATTCTTGAAAAAAGTAGAAAGTTTGTTGTTATTATATGATAGCTAGGAGAGATTCACAGGATCGTCACTCGGAGGTTGGGTAGAATTGTCCGAAAATTGGATGGAGTCATCATTAGTGTTAGGCATGGCGAATGAACTATCACCTTGTTGAAAATGCTACAACAACATCCGTGTCATCATCACATGTTGTCGTCAAGTGTACTCCTTCAACTTATTTGTTATAGCCAACAACGTTGTGACGAGTACCTCATAGCTCCCGGATCTTTTGCATATTTCCAGCGAGCTTGATCCTTGCTTTCCTTTCGTTGTGCGTTATCACCAACATGGACCCACAAAGTTATCTAACCGGAGTCCGTATTGACGTTAAAGTAATAATGAGATGCGTATAACCTAAGTCCGTACATCATCTTTCTCTTACTATCTCTTCCACCAACGACCTTCCTAAAAATTTCATTAATGTTGATGTTGGTCAATGAAGTCCCACCGATCCTGTCGCCTAGCAACCTCCTCCTCATTTATTAATATTTCTACGACCTCCTACATAATTATGAAAGACATAATATTAAACAATTATGTGAAATAACGTTATAAATTAATATGTATGAAATAACGTTATAAACTAATTAATAACTTACATCGATAATTCTTGATCGTTGATCGATGAAGACATATTGATGATCAATCTCTCTCCGATGAGTCTTTAAGAAAACCTCGCGAGGATCAAGTTCACGACCAAACACCTCACGCCGAAATAAATAATCATAAGTGTATTAAATATACTCAAATATTTAATTAATTATTTTGATATCATTATAAAAATAATATATATATATATATATATATATATATATATACACACACACACACCATAAGTATTGCGTGCTCTTTATGACCGATCGACCCCCCGTTTGTCTTAAAGGACTCAGCTCCTATGCGATCGGCCTCGCTCCCGTGGTTCCACGCCACCATCTCGGATCGTGCAATGGCCTCGGGATTTGCCCATTCCATACTCCATGCATTCCATATGTCCCGTGAGATAAATATTGGCTTCGAGCTTCTCTTGATACGATAAAGAAAGTTAGAATATCGTTTTCATGCTAGTAACTCATAAATACATAATTATGGTAATAACGAAAAAATATGTTTCATACAATTAAGCATAACATTAACGTACTCATTGTGACCAATGAAAATGACCGTAACTCGTGGATCAATCGTGGATCCGATAGGTTCCGAAGCTAATGGACGAGGGACGTTCGTGAAGGGACTTGTTCATGAACAAAATGATTGCCTTGTTGTAATGACAAGGGCACCGACGACGATGAAGGGAAAGATAGGCAAGGACGTAAAGGTCCATAATAAGGATACGACTTAAGCTTAGACATGTCGGACCTCGAAAGGTATATCATAGGGGCACCAACGGGGTGGTACGAAGGCATGTCCATAGGGGGTTCATCCGACCGAGAAAGGAAGGAGAATGGCGCCCACATCTATGATCACTGCCCAAATCGGCATCTAAACCGCGACCCTCATCGTATGACATGGGCCATCGCATCCGAGAACTCCTCTACCTCGAGGCATTATAATCTACACATTATTAAATTCATTAGTATTATTATATAATAATGACATATAACATTCATATTAATATTAACAATTTCAAGTATATTTATTTAACGAAGAACATATATAAAACAACGTGGACACACGGACATATATTTAAATGTTATCTTAAAAAGTACAAGTAAACTATGTAGGACAACAAAACCATATTGCTAATTTTTTTTTTAGAACGAGGATAGTACCTGGAGATATATTAAAATAACATAAAAAATTACATAGGGGGATAAAATCAGCCTAACCTAACAACCTAGGAGGACAAGGTTGCCTAAACACTCGATTTGCTATTGAAATTATATAAAATCCATGTGGATAATATATATATCCATTAAATATAAAAATCAATATTACATAATCTAATAGGATTTACCATATCGCTAATCAGTATCATGGTCATCATTGTCACATTCTTCATCCAAGTCTTCATCAACATCTATTTCAAACTCATCTTCATTCTCTACATTAATTTCAATCCCTTGTAAATCTAGTAACGCTTCGAGTTGGATCATTCTATGAGTGACCTTCGTCATTATCAACTTGGATGACATTGCGTTAGCCTTCAATTCTCGTTTTTCCGAAAAGGTTCGATATTTATTTGGTTGATTGTAACGGATGATTCAAGCACATCCACTATTAGTCCGGGTTTTACCTTACATATCGCTAACCAATCGTGTCTAATGAGCTTCGATGTAAGATATATTACATAATACACCTCATGCGTTTGTGATACTAGTATGAAGGGATCAAATTTATTTGATGTCTTATGACTATTTACCTCTACTAGTCTTTAATGATCATGAACTCTTATACCAATGCTAGGTATAATATCATACCAATCATATTTGAATAATATGGCTTTCTTGATTGGTAAGGCGAGATACTTAAGTTTGAATATATCGCTCAATCTATCGTAGTAGTTATTTTCCACCACACTATAGCTAACTCCTTTTACACACACTTAACTACACATTGTTGCTTTCTTTGAACCATGAACATCGATGTGAAACTTATACCCATTCATAATATATCCCGAATACGACTAAGTCGTTCTAGTGGTCCTTTTATAAGATCTTTAATGTAATGGTCTCGTTATCGTAATGGGTTGTGTATTACTTGTCTATAAAGTCTAGATCCATTACTTAATGTTTATATGAAATTTGATAAAACTGTTTTCCTAATAAAAAAATCTATACTTTCTTATACTCACATATCGACGTAACCGGGATGCAAAATCGGCTTCAAGCCGAACATCTATCTCGTTCTTTGATATGTCGGGATCATTTTTATAAAGTTGGGTGATAAAATATTCGAGAAAGAAAAAAATTCTTATTATGTGTTATTAAAATGATTGATACTTAATGAAGTTCATATTTCTCATCCGCTGGTCACTCGGGCAAAAATTAAACAGACATAAATATTAGAAAATATATTACATATTAAATAATTAAACCAAAGATAATTAATATAAAAATTGAGAAAGAGTGATATATCCTAAAGTTTAAGTCTTTTAAATAGAACTCAATCTTACCTATATAAATCTATATGGTATCGGGGCTTCAAAAATGTTCAACAATCCAACAAATCTTAAAAGATTAACCGAGAGTAAAAAAGAGTGTTAAAGAATATATTAATATATAAAATTGAGAAAGTATAACCCTATCTAACTCTACAATAAGCTCATATGAACAAAATCCAAACAAACATAAAATGTTTAGCCTTAGTCCGGAGAGTCTAACCTCTTTCTTACCTACCAAAAGAATAAGAATACACTTTTTAAATGAAGACACACCCATGACACTATTATATTGTTCAACATTATATTGTTCAACGAGTGTCTCGTTAGTATCAAAAATACTTATTTTCTTGTCAATATCAAAAGTTGTTGGCACAAAAAAAAGAAGATAATTTTATCTCTCTTCATCTAGTTTAAGTCTTTTCAATGGAACTTAATCTTACTTATGTAAATCTATATGGTATCGTGGCTTTAAAAAGGTCTAACAATCTAGCAAATCTTAAAAGATAAACCGCAAAGAAAAAAGAGTGTTAAAGAATATATTAATATATAAAATTAAAAAGGGATTACCCTATATAACTCTACAATAAGCTCATATGAACAAAATCCAAACATACATAAAATGTTTAGCCTTAGTCTAGAGAGTCTAACCTCTTTCTCGAATGCCAATAGAATATGAATACACTTGACCTTTTTCTTACCTACCAAAAGAATACGAATACACTTGTTTATCATTCGTTCCACCTCAACAGGGCCCCACTCCTCCTTGTCTCGATCAATGTGAGGTTCTTTGAGTTGACTTGGGAACACTTTGCCGATGGGGCGGGGATGATATTTGCCAGCCCGGCTCGTCGCTTATTTTCTTTTGAAAATTATAATTATAGCCAATATATATATATATGCATGCTCTTAGGCTACAAACTAGTCTCTAATATAATGAGTGAGTTTTGATAATCTCTAAGCAGTAAAGACATGCAAGAATTTGTGTTTTTACATTGCATTTGTGATACTTCATAAACTTAATTAAGTATATTATTTATTCGATTGAAAACAGTTTAATATATTATGGGTTGTGTTATATATTATGGGTTGTGTTATAAACTTGTAATGGAATATGATGTTAAATTATTATCTTTCTTAATTGTATTTTTTATATGAACCATTATCCTTTTGCAATAGATTAAAATTTGATATAAAATAACATGAGATAGAATGAAACGAGACTGGTGTAAAAAATTAAAGAGGATAGCGAGTGTCCTACGAGGATCCCCGTCTGTCGTCCCGTGCGGAGACGGGGCAAAGTTTTTCAAGGATGAGGTAGGGGCGAGGACCCATTGCCATTTCTACGCTTGTTAGATGAAGACACATCCATGACACTATTATATTGTTCAATAGTGTCCCGTCGCATTAAAAATACTTATTTTCTTGTCAACATCAAAAGTTGTTGGCGCAAAAAAAAAAAAAAAGACAATTTTATCTCTCTTCATCTAGTTTGACAGGTCTTGTGTTTCTACAAATACTTTTGAGACATAGGGCTAAGGATTCAAAATTTATTCTCTCATTCTCTATTCATCTTCTTTTTTTCAATACCTACGTTATTTATATTATTGTTTTTTCAGGTCTAATCTCCTCATTTGTTAAGTTAGTCATAGAGTTAAGAATTCAAAATTTCTTCTCTTATTCTTTGCTGATCTTCTTCTTTCAATATCTACATCATTTTTATTATTAATTTTTCAGATCTAATCCCTTCATTTGAAAGAAGTTTTTTGAAAATCTCCACCTTACTAAAGAGACTTGTTTAACATATATTTTACTGTTGCAACCATCACCAACTAACTAGCATCACGTTCAAACCAATTGTGATAAAGAACCACATTATATTTCGAATATTATGACATCATCAACTACCAATTAAATATTTTGAACGAAGTTTAAACCATAAAAAAAAATCCAAATATATATTTTTTTAAAAAAATAAAAATCTCTAAAAAAGATAGGTGTTTTGGAGTTTTAAGAAATAAATAAATAAATAAATCGATTAAAACAACGCTAAAACTGCAATAAAGCTAAGATAAGGAAGTTTTACGTTTTGCTTTGCTTCTCCACTACTTTTCAAGGTTAGGTAAAGTAGTAAAATCTAAAATTTCATGCCTTTCAATTGAAAAGGAAACAGAATAAGAAAAAAATAGAGAGACGTTATTGCTTTGCCCCCACAAAGCTAGTTTAGAGTCTCAGGTTTTTAAAAAGTGGAGAGCGTCTATGCATAATAATAATTATATATATATAAAAAAGTAAAAAAGAGAATATAATAAAAGAGGAAGAGAATATAATAAAAGAGGCAGCTAGCTGTAAGTTTTTTTTTTTTTTAACATATATATATATATACACACACCAAAAACTCTTTTAGGTTGCCTTTGGTATAAAACGAAAATTTCGAACATAAAATGTTAGCGAGATTGAAAAAATCGTGATAGGAGGGAACGGCAAAGGAAGGAATTAAAAAAAAAAAAATAGTCTCACTTGTATGGATAAATAAGAAGGAAAATAGAGGAGAAATAAATAAATATATATATATATATATATATTGGTTTGGATATAAAAGTGAATAGAAAGTAAAAATTATTAAATGTCATTAACATCCTTTTTAGTTAGAGGTGAAAAGATAAAATGGCAAATAAGATTGGAAAGGTCTATTTGTTAAAAAGATAAGTTAGGTTTTTCAAAAAGAAAAAGGTTAAAATAATAAAGTAATTTTCAGAAAATGATAAAATTATTTCCTTCCTCTTCATTTCTCTAATTTGGAGATGAGACTTTAGAGGGAAATGATGGTTAAAAATTAACCCTTTTTTTTTCTTTTTCTTTTTTCATTAAAAATTTTCTTTCCAAACAAAGTTAAGATAAGATGTCATTAATCTCTATTCTCATTCCTGCCTTTCTTTTTTTTTTTTTTCTCTCTATTCACTTTTTTTTCCAAACAAATTGTTAACGATCATAAAAATATTAAAATATGAATCATAAAATGTTGGAAGATTTTGTGTCAAAGTTAAATTAAATATAACTTTAAAAAATGCTATATATTTATAGATTATGAATAGAAAGCCAGAAAATCAAAAAAGAGAGAGAAAAAAGTGACGGTTAAATTCCAAAAAATAAAATATAAAATAGAGACAGACAATGAATAAATGCCAAACTTTTCTTGTTGAACAAATAAACAGTTTTATCCTATCTACGAGTTATCGGTCTGATGGAAAGCTACTTGCTTTTCAGACAAAATTTTAGTTAATGTGCAAGTTCAAATCTCAACATGGCATTTATTAAAAAAATTAAATTTTATCATTTCTACTTTCAATAATATAAAAAGAAAAGATAGCTGGCCAAAAATAAATAAACAATTCTTTTCCCTCAATATTGCTGTCTTGGAAAGTTAAGGTAGGAAGAAATAAGCGTTTCATTTTTATTTGGTAGCTATAATAGCAAACGGAGAATTTTGTATTTTTTATAAAGAAGATGCCAGCCTTGAACATTTCTACAAACGTGAGCCTCGACGGCGTTGATGTATCTGCAATCCAAACTGAAGCAACCTCTAAACTTGCCAAGATCATCGAAGGCAAAACTGAGTCTGTAAGTTTAATTTGTTTTCAGCTTTATTATTATTATTATTAGCAATCAATCTATAGAAAGTTCTTTAAATTATTTGCGTTTTCAATTCCCTTTACGTTCTTTTGGACTTTCATCACTATAATATAAAAATGTTAAATCTGTTGTGGGTTATTGATTTTTTTGTTTTTTAAGACATCGAGATTTTGGACCATGGCAGATGTTTTATGTCTGAAATAAGTATCTGTTTTTTTTTTTTTTTTTCTCAAAACCATGTTGTGTCTGTTCAATTCTTATTTTTTTAATGATTAATTTTAATTAATTGTGAAAAACTAAATTTATATATGGACACAAAGATTTCTTGGATATTTAGGTGAGATCAGGCTTGATTATAAGTTTGGGTTTATTTATGATTTTAAAATCACTTGATGTTTGTGTTTATTTATGATTCTAACATCAATTGATCATGCATGAGGAATCCATAAGATATATTTTGAGCAGTTTTTTATTTCATATTTTTCGTAATGGGATGTGCCTCTGATTACCTATTTTCATGTTTCATCTCATGCAGGATGTGATGATTGTATTGAGGGGATCAATTCCCATTTCATTAGGAGGAACTCAAGAGCCAGCAGCTTTTGGTGAGTTGGTATCCATTGGTGGTCTTGGCCCTGAAGTGAACAAGAATCTGAGTGCTGCAATTGCAGAAATTCTGGAGACGAAGTTGTCAATTCCCAAGTCACGATTCTACCTTAAATTCTATAACTCTCAGGCAAGCCATCACCACTTTTAATTGTCAAGAACATGTGCCGTTGCTTTCTTCATGTTAGTCTAGGCCCACCGTAGCCAAGATTGCGCCAATAATAGCATCCACTACATGGTTCTCGTTTTCACTATCAATGACACTGATGTTTCCTTTATTTTGCAGGGTACCCACTTTGGGTGGAATGGTTCCACCTTCTAAATCCTTCAGCTTTGTTGCCTTCAAACTTGATGTCATAAATCCAGTAAGATGAGCCTAATTAGATTTTCTGAAATTATAGGCTTGGCATTGTTAAAATAGATATATTTTTCTAGGCATGTATGGAACAAGATCGCTTCTGTTTGTGTATACATATATTAATGTTGTTCAGGGAAACTTCATGTTTGCCTGAAATTTAGTCAACAGTATTTTGTTCTATGGTGCTCATGGCACATGATTTGGTTTTGGGAGTGAAATCTATGTATGGTTCTTGGATGATTTTCAGCTTCTTACGCAACGTTCTTTAATTACTACAAATGTTTTCTTATAATTAAGCATGGGTTGGTGCATAACTGAAATTATTAAGTTATTATAAAATTATGCTATTAAAATAAGTGTTTTAACTATAAAACCAAAAGAATAAAAGCAACTTTAGTGTTTCCACCTTAATTACTAGAAAGGAATGTTTTTTTTTTTAATAATTATACTAAGAATTAATGTTAATGTCAATTGTCAAATGATATTGGATGATCTAAGAAGATAGCTGCAATTTAAATGTTTAATTTTTAATTTATTTAAGTGCTCGAAATTAAATAAAAGATTTGGTTAAACACTCAACTATAAAAGAAAAATAAAATAGACACTCAAATTGAAGTTTTCTCATCTAAGAATCATAAAATTATTTGTGTGAGGGTCTAATAATAATAGATATTAATTATTTAAATAAAGTGTCTTTATCTTATCACATTTCTCGAAGATAAAAAAAACTATAGCATGCAGTAATTGCTGGATAATGCTGGTCGATTTTTAAGAAAAAGTACACAATTTTAATAGGAAAAAAAGGGTATAATTGTCTCCCTCTTTTTTCTTTTTTCAAAAAAGAATAAGTCATCTACCTAAAAAAACAAAACAAGAAAACAAAACCAACTAGTCAAAGTAATTGTTTATCCTTTAATCAACTTTTTTTTTCCTTTTTTTGTTTTGAAAAAAAGGGCAATCAATCTTTTGATTCGAAAGGAATCGGCAAGTAATCACAACTTAAAATTAGTTAGAAGGGAAAGGAAAGGAATCTAAAAGGATTACTTGGAAAGGAAAGAAAAAATCAATTTAGTCGCTAAATTTAATATATAATAAGGGTATTTTAGTTGAAACAATCACAACTAAAAATTAATTAAGAGAAAAGGGAAAGGAACATAAAAAGTAGATACAATAAAATAATCACTAAATTAAATATATAATAAAGATATTTTAGTCTGAAATTATTAAGGAAATAATTCATTTAGGTTGACATTTCTGACGTGTTTAATTATTAGCCTTCTGATGTCATTGGAATGGAATCTTAAGAGGGGGGCGTGAGTCTTGCCACTGTGGGTCAACAAATTGCGTCAGCAGACTCATCATGCCGGTCAATGTATTTTATCCTTTATTGTTTGTTTGGTATAAGACATTTAAAATTATATTTGATATGTCAAATGCTCTTACATATGCTAAGTTAAAAAATCTTCTCTTTTTTTTTTTTTTTTTTTTAAGGTTTAGCAATAAGGATGTTTCTAGATTGGTTTTCACACATATTGAGATTAATCTCTTTTTGAGCGTACTTAAGAGACAATTTTCAATATATGATTTTAAATATTCTGTGAATAAGTTCTAAAAAATATTGACGACAAGAATCAAATTTTGAATGTAGCCTATAAGTCAACGCTTGTTTACCAAAAGACGATAAATCTTATGCCGGCCACAAGAAAGTGAATTTAAGCATTAGTGTGTGTATATAGTTAATTGTTAGTGTTAAAGAAAATAAGGAATCAAACTTAATACTTGTAGAAAGAAATTAATCCGAGCGCCATAATAAGAATGAACACCAAAATGATAAGTATAATACTATTTAGATACTTGCACTATGCTACGGTCAAACACCCGTTATATACATAGAGTTAACGATTTGTATGGTGTGGTGTAAGTAGAAGTTTTGTTTCGGATGATTAATGTAAATCGAATCTATAAATTGAACAAAATTATTTGATTTATATATATTTATTAATAAAATAATTTATAATATTAGCATAAAAAATTGTATTTGAATAATTGAAAGGTTCTTTCAAAAAAATTAATTAAATTATTTTATTTAAAAATACAGATTTTAGAGCAGGGAAAAATATAAATATCAAATAATTGGCGTTATGTGTGCGGATATATAATTAATTTCTAACAAAACTATATATATATATATATATATATATGGTCTAAAGGTTTGTATTGGTAAAATTGTTCTATTGAACAATATTTTTTATGTTGACAGAGTCATTATCTTTGGGGATTTTGTAAGGACAAGCTTCTATTTTTGTTTCTCCATGAGAGAAGGTCAATTTCCTAGGTGGAGAATGGTCGGACTAAATCATCCGTCCTTCCACTTCCCAAATAGGGGTTTTGTTTCGGTGGTAACATGGTTCAAATTCTTAGCAAATGGATAATCAATCAAATTATCACTAGCATATAATTCAAACCAATCAAAGAACAATATATGAATCTTATGAATATTCACAAACTCATATAATTCATTTTGAATATCTTTTCCGTTATCCAAAAATTTTTTGAAGAACCAAATTTGTTTTGCAGAATTATGTTTTGCATAGAAATTATCATGCAAATATTTTTTATCTACTCGTAAAACTATCATCGGACAAAACATTACATTCATTTGCAATATTATCGGTGATAGCGAAGTAGTAGGAGATAAAGGAGGAGAATCCTCTTAGTTTGAATATCCGGATTTTAGAATATTTGTGCAATAATCAACATTTTGTAAAACAAGGGTTAGGAATATCCGAGGTTGAAAACCTACGTGGTTGTCTTAGAGATGGTAGACTTTGGTTTTAATTCCGTATCTTTCCTAACATTTGGTACATTTATGATCGAAGGGATTTCGGAGAATCTACCTAGGTCATAAGTCATAGAACTAGAGGCAACATCGGAAAATCTACTACTCGGTAAATTTTTTCTCAAATGAGAATATATCACTCCCATCTATATGTTGAGCTATAGATCTAATTTGTGTGTTTGGTTTTGGAACCTTAAGCATTGGTAGAGATCCGTGTCCGGTGATTCCTTCAATGACCCATTCATGAGGTAGGACTATGTCTTTCCACCTAATAGGTCTATATAGTCTATATATAAAATAAATAAATATAAAAATATATAAAAAAAACCCACTTAAATCACATGAAATATATCGAAGTGAATATATTTAAACAAAAACTAATATAAAATTGGTTTTGATAAATTTTGATTATATATATAAGCAAATAAAACATGTGAATTATCTTTTTAAGTAATTATTAATTTTATTTAAACAAAAAATTGAGTCAAATTATTTTTTAACCGATTATTAATTTTTTTAAAAAAGTTAAGTCAAATTATCTAAAACACACTTTTAGCTCTCTCTCTCTCTCTCACACACACACACACACACACACACACACACACACACACAATTTATATGTGCAACAACGTTATACTCATTTAAAAATCATAAAAATAATCAATAATATAAATTATAATAATATATTTTCAAAAATAAAACAATCACGTTCTAAAATTTTATTTCAAAATCCATTTATAAAAAAACCAAATTTATTAACAAATAAAATTATATCAAAAATTAATTTGATAACAATTTTAATAAGAAATAAATAATTGAAGAAATAAATTTTAAACAATAAGAATAATATATATATATATATATATATATATATATATATTACGTCAAACTCGTACGTAAAATTAAAAAAAAATGATGATCTATTTTTTATATTTTCGCACATAATTTCATGATAAAAAAAATAAATTATTAAAATAAAAAATAAAAGAAAAAAGGTCAATCATGTGCGAGCGAGCTAGCCCGACCTAGTTGGGCCTCTATTCGTAGGCATGCGAGCCATTCTAAGGATGCTTGTGCTTGCTTCTCCGTGCCCGGGTTGTTAGCCAACGACCACCCTCCAAAAAAAAAGACTTGCAACTTTCAATGAACTCAAGTTCATTGAAAAATCAAGAGTCAATTTTTAAATACCAAGAAACTTAATTTTGGTATTATTTTTTTCCCAAACACCTCTAAATGACTCGAAATAAAATCAATAAATACTTTTAAAACCTTAAAAATCATTTTAATGTACATTAAAAAAAATACATAACCAAATCGGATTTTTTTCCTTTTTTAGCTCCAATCTACATTCTCCAATTATTTAATGAATTAAAACCACAATGGACAAACTCATCTCTCGAAGATAAAAAAACAAAAAATCTAATAGAGTTTCGTCGACCAAAGTGGCCTAAATAAGATGGATCGAAGCTCTCTCTCTCTCCTCTCGTCACTCTCTTTTTTCCTCCCCTTTCTCTAAACTTAGGGACCAAGATATATTAGTAAATAAAGATATGACCACCCTAAAACTTACCACGAGTGGATGGATCACTACCTACAATAAAAGGTGAGTCGGATATCGTTCCCACGAGGAGAGAGTTCTAATTACTAATGGATGATTTCCTATTAGATTATGAAAAATACCTAAACTAATAGAATGAAAAAATGATTCCTATTAGATTATGAAACTTATAGGGGTTCGAATTCATCAATGAATTATCTCTATAATATGAACTTATTGACTAGAAATCTCTCTTTTTTCTACAATGGTTGATTTCCTTAATATATATGATAATCTCTTTTATGACTCAACACTTTAGCCACATTAGCACTATATCTACTTTTGTGATCATAGCAATCAATGCAACTATGATAATGTTTCATGGAATTCTATAATTATTCTTATTGGTATTGTCTACTTTCGTGACAAAGAAAAAAATGATTAGAGAATCCGTAAACTAATTTCAAGCTTTCATTTTTGCTATTTCATTTGATACCTTAGACATGCAACTAATGGTGAGTTAGATTAAAAGCATGAAAAACGAATTCACCGGATTATATTCAATAGGAAATATTCAACTCAACAATGGTTCAAATCATATTGAAAAATTCATAACTACATCCTCACCCTAGGACTTAAGATTTTAGCTAACCAACATGATATTTATCACAAAAAGATTAAAATAGTAAAGAAAATAAGAAGAACTCTTTGAAATTGAAGGTTGACAAGACTCGATCCCTTTCTTCTCCTCCTTTTTCACGTTCTTCTTCTCGCCTCT